ATCTTACACGCATGTCAGAAGTGTTTGCAATAAAATATTACAGGTGTCAGATTATTATTATTACTCATTCAAATGAAGATACGGATTAGAAATCTGACATCACTGAGCCGCTTCCTTTTGGAAAGTGCAGTGAACCTTACATAATCAAAGCTGCAACGTTTTTTAATCAAAGTTGCAACTTTTTTTCCACCCAGCAAGTCCTTTTTTTTGTACTGTAAAACAGATTCAGTGATAAAACTCGGACAAAGAATGGCAAACGTCATTGTTCTTAAGCTTAAGATGTGAAAAACTGAAAAGACAACTGCCTGGTTCATAAAAAATAAAATAAAATAAAAATAGGTTACGTTAAAGTAATCGTTCCTGCAACTTGGTGGGGACAATTTCTCAGGAAAATGCAGCCTTGTGGGGACCGGATGCACCTTGTGGGGACTAAAGCCCGGTCCCCACAATTTCGGAGGCTGATTTTGGGTTTGGTGCTTGGGTATTGGACCAAGGAGTGAATTGAGTTTAGGTTAGTTTTAGAGTCAGGTAGGTTAGCCTTAGGGGAAATGGTCAGGGTTAGGGTATAAAATTTCAAAAAAATAATGAAAGACAATGGAAAGTCCCAACAATGATAGAGAGACATTGTGTGTGTTGTGAGTGTGTGTGTGTGTGTGTGTGTGTGTGTGTGTGTGTGTGTGTGTGTGTGTGTGTGTGTGACAGAGAGCTTGACACTAGTTTCAGTAAAAAAAAAAAAAAAAAAAAAAACACCAACAGACAGGTACAAGGACAGAAAAACTTTTACCAAAATGAAAAAAAAAGACAATTCCACTTACTAGTGATATTCCTTTTCATTTTCACCAAAACACAAAAATAGAAGATATATATTTTACAAAGACAATTAAAATATATATTTTGTTCAAAGTACCAGCTTTCCTTCACAAAAGAACTGTCCTGTTTAAATTTAGTTTCTAGGTTAAACATGATGCTCCCTAAAGCAAAGAGTAAGAAATGCACATTAATGAAACACAAAATCTAACACTGAATATTGTTTTAAACAATAGGATGTTTGAAGGGGTGTTTTCATATTTAAATGTACAATGATTGGTTCAAATATGCCACCAAAATCTAACAATAATAAGTATAAAAAAATGTCGGCCTTTGATTTTGATGTTAAGGATAAGGATTAAGTCAATATTTTTTTGGTTTCAGAAAAAAAAATGTAATTGTGGTTGAATTTTTGTCAGTAAGGTTTTGCAAAACAGAAGAAAATATTAAAACAAATCAATAATACATGGGATGGAGTAAAACTGAAATAATTCTCCTCCACTAGGATAACAATCACAGTTTTGAAAAGCATAACTAAAACTCTTCAGAACTCCTAAAAAAAACTGTTGCAAGAAAGAAAAGGGAATCTCCTTTCATTTTAGACCATGAGCAACAAGAAAAGTTCAGAACCAAGGACAGAGACACAACTGCTAATGCACACATACAATACAGAGAATAAACATTTGTTTCTGAATAGTCAGCTTTCTAATTTTTTCAACAACCTCTTTATGAC